ATCTCCCCCTGGATGGGGACGGACAGGGTTGGAAGAGTCCTTAGGTATTCTTTGATCCCAGCCAGGGCGTCCTCGCACCCCTGGCTCCACATATTCTTCCCAGCACTCTTGATTGCTCCAAAGAAGGGTTTGCATTTATCCGAGGAGCGTGAGACGAAACGGTTAAGTGCAGCCAGCATCCCTGTGAGTTTTTGGACTTCTCGGACAGTGCGAGGGCTTCGGATGTCCAGGATTGCTTTAATCTGATCCGGGTTGGCTTCGATTCCTCGTTGACTAACCAGATATCCGAGGAATTTACCGGACTCCACTCCGAAAACGCACTTCGCCGCATTCAGCTTCAGCCCATATTCCCTGAGGGTGGAGAAGGTATCCGCCAAATCTGTCAGATGATCACAACTCCGTTTGCTCTTCACCAGCATATCGTCTATGTAGACCTCCATGGTGTTGCCGATCTGCTTTTTGAACATCCGATTCATCAGCCTTTGGTATGTTGCCCCGGCGTTCTTCAGTCCAAACGGCATCACTTTGTAACAATAAACTCCCTTCGGAGTGATAAATGCCGTCTTTTCCTGATCCGGGGCATAGAGAGGGATCTGATGATATCCTGCTCGGGCATCCAGGAAGTCCATTCGTTCATATCCGGCTGTGGCATCTACCAGCTGGTCCACCTTTGGCAGGGGGTAGTCATCCTTGGGGCATGCCTTGTTCAGATCTGTAAAGTCTACGCAGACACGCCATTTCCCCCCTTTCTTCTTTGCGCACACCGTATTAGATAGCCATTCTGGGAATTGTATCTCTCGAATGGCGTCGGCCTTCAGGAGTTTGTCGATTTCCTCGTTGACCGCGCTGGTGTGATGCGGGGCCATGCGTCGTGGCCTCTGCTTGACTGGCTTGTGCGACGGGTCAACATGCAGCCTGTGTGTGATTATCTCGGGGTCTACCCCGTCATTTCCATCTCGTTCCAGGCGAACACGTCTGTATTTCCCCTTAGGAACTCGATCATCTCCTCCTGTTCGGCTGTAGGCATCGAGGTCCCCACTAAGAAATACCTCTCTTCTTCTCCCTCTACCAAGGGCACCTTCCGGAGGTCTTCAACCGACCGTTCAGTTGGGTCTATCCGGGGGTCATCCATTCCTGGACGCCCGGACTGTAATTGCTATTTTTCCATAATCTCTTCCGGTGCTCGCCCCTTCTCCTGGCTGGACGCCCCGGCTCGAACGGCTGAATAAAAAAAGTTTTTCGCGGACGCTGGTCCCCCCGGATCTCCATGATACCTTCTGGCGTGGCGAATTTTAATTTCTGGTGGAAAGTGGAATGCACCGCTCCCAACGCATGCAGCCATGTTCGCCCCATAATCACGTTGTAGGGAGAGTCCGTATCGATCACCACAAACTCGGTGTCGATGATAAAGGGACCAGTGGCAACTGGCAATGTGATTTTCCCCACGGGCAAGGCGAATGAGCCGTTGAACCCGATGAGGGGTGTCCTGACTTTGGTGAGGTCTTTGGGGCCAAAACCCATCCGTTTCAAAGTTTCGAAGTACATCACCTCCGAGGAGCTTCCAGAGTCTATCAAAATTCTCTTGACATCGAATTTCCCTATCTTAGGGTCAAGACAAGGGCGTCGTTATGGGGGGTCACTACGCCTGTCAAATCCGCGTCGGAGAATGTAATGCCAAGCTCACCCGTCCTGGCCCTTTACTTGATGGCCCTACATCACCCTCGGCTACCTTCCTCGTAAAAGCTACCCTCTTGAGGTCGGACTCGAGCTCCCTGGACGTGGGGCGCTCCAGGGGACATATATGAATGACGTCTATGATGTTGTCCGGTTCCTCGGTCGGGGCAAGGGCTCGTCTCTCTTCTGGCCTGGGCTCTATGTACTCTTTCAAATGTCCGTCTCGGACCAAGCTTTCCAAGAACGATTTGAACACCCTACAGCTTTCGGTGCGATGCCCGAAATCCCGGTGATAGGAACACTTAACCTTTTGATCACGGGTGGAGGGGTCGCCCTGCATCCTGGGCGGCCATTTGAAGAACGGCTCGTGCTTGATTTTATGGAGCAACTTGAAGATGGGTTCCTTGAAAACAGTGTGAACTCCTCTGGACGAACCCCCTGGATGGGGTAGCAATCCCTTTCGGGGAATATCTTCGCGCTCCTTCTCCTTTCTCTTAGATTGGAGGGCTCGGCCTTTGTTGCTTCCCATCTCGTCCTCAACCCTCGAGTACTTGTTGATCCGGGCCATCAGTTCCCCATATCCGAGGGAGTCTTCTTGGTCAGGGATCGGTACAGGTCCGTGTCCCTCGCCAAGCCGAGCCGGAAAGATGCTGCTGCCATGACCTCCGAGCAGCCTTCTATCTCATTGACCTCTTCCCAGTATCGGATGGCGTACTGGCGAAGAGTCTCGGATTCCCTCCGTCTGAGGGTCAACAATGATCCAATGTCTTTGGGGCGCTTACTCCCCGTAATGAATCGAGCCAGGAACTGCCTAGTCAATTCCTTCCAGGACCCAATACTGTTGGGAGGAAGCGTCTCGAACCACTTCATCGCAGAGTCCCCCAAGCTCATAGGAAACACTCGGCAAAGAAACCGGTGGTCCGAATGATAGAGGGACATCATCTGCTTGTACTGTCTGATATGGGCTTCGGGGTCGGACCGCCCGTCATAGGTTTTGAACCGTGGTACGACAAATTTTTTGAGACCTCCATCTCACTGATCTCCCTCGTAAAGGGTGTTTGCATGACTTCGTCCTCGGCCTCATCCTGGACAGTCTTACCCTTTCTCCTGGTGTCTAATCGGGCTCTGAGATCAACTTCTTCCCTGGCGGGATGCCTTCTGAAGTCCTTGAGTTCGTCGGTAAGCCCCTCATTTCCCGGGCGTCGTGTGGATTGGGTTGAGTCCTCCTCGGATTCATCTCCCTTCCTCCGTCTAGACAAACCTCGCCGGAGGTCGTCCAGGGCCAATGGCCTTGCTTTCCTTGAAAGGTTGTCATGATGATGCTCGCCGGCTCTAGGTCGCTTTGGGGCCCTAGAGCTTTCTGCTTTGTTGTTTAGATGGTTTCTTAGGTCCTTCGTTTCCTCCTCTCGGGCGGGAAGCCCACGGAAAAGGAATGAATCCCTAGACCCCCCGCCAGAGGCGGCAAACTCGTCGAGCCGGCTTAGGACGTTTACATTGTCCTTTTCCAGCTGACGTAATCTATCACCAAATTTTTCTTCAATCACCTCCGCCAGCTGACGAGCCAAGGGGGCTGATCCCCCTGACCTGATTCCCATACTGGTTTGAGGGGTAACCCCTCTTGACCGAGTAGAGGCACTTTTATTCGTGTTGGTGTGATCCCTCCCTCCGTGATGACAGGGAGCTTGTAACTCGAGACTCCTTTGGTGGGGTCCTTTCCCTTTTGTCGAGTGTTCACCATGGTCACTGTTCTTTATAGAGAAAAAAACTAGGAAAACTAGTCGTTTCCCACAGACGGCGCCAGATTGTGCGTGCAAGATCCTGCACAATATAAAAAACGAGAACAGATCTCTCCCTTGGTGAACTTCGAGTGAGCCGTTGAGTGACCAAACACGCTGCTTGGAACAGCCTGCAAGGTACGGTGGTAACCTGGAACGGCAACGGGAGACCCTGGGAAAGGAAGAACGATCCTGTAAGGCTGAAAGAGGTTCCTGGAACAAAGAAGAACAAGTTAGAAGGGCGCCGGAGTGTTTTTCGGCGTATCCCCTCCGACGATCTAGTCAGTCTTTGAGAAAGAGAGAGGAAGGAGAAAACACTGAGAATGTGTATTGTAGTAGAGAGTTTGTTGTTGCATACCCGCTTTGCCTTTTGCAAGGAGTATTTATACCTTAAAAGCTCATGATTGCTGTCAGTGTGGTCAGTAGGTGATCATTAGGCACAGGTAGCGTGCGCATTGATTCTGATGAGGAATGTCTTCTCTAATTAACTGCTCGGGGTCCCGAGCAATCAATGCTGGGTCGTCGGGATGCCGACGGTACAATGTGCTCCTCTCGGGGGGGATGCAATAAATGCTCTGTAATAGGAGCATTTATTGCCTTTCATTTCCGAGCCTTACCGCATTGAATGCGGTCTCATCAAGGGAATGGTGCAATTAATTGTTTGCTTTCCCAAGTCGCGTGTCAGCAACGGCATGCGGTTTGTCTGTCTTTGATGTGATATCATATGTCACGCGTCCATCCCCTATTGGCTGTGACCTCTGTATTCCAGTACGTTCTGACATTACTTGTGTAAGACGAGGTCATGATGAATAGCCTAGACTAGCCTAGGCTAATGACCTGTACGTCAATAGCTTATCCTGGAGTAGAGGAAGCGTCCAGGACGGGGGTACCTCTCGGCACCGAGGGAGGTATGCCGACCGAGGTACATATCTGACCGAGGACACGTGTCGGTTGTAAAATATACTGAATGTATGATCTTATATGACGGTACCTCGGGGGCGAGGACATTTCGTGCGCCGATGGTGCTTGATCTTAGCAACAGTGTTTTAGTAAAACCGAGGACACGTGTCTTCATCATAGGGTATTTCAGAAAAGTCTCATCACCAGCCTTTAATCCACCACTCTATCTCTAATAGAAAACATTACAAGAGCAAATGTAATGTCAACTGTATACGATGAGAATTGATCCTCTCAATAGATCGGAGTTTTTATTTGAATATAAAATAAATTAATTTGACATGAATTGATATTTTTGATTGATTATCCGAATCTGAAGTATCAATACTCAATTTGATTATTATTCGCTCTAACCAGAGGGGAGACGGTGGGCAAGGATACCCCAACCCTACAATCATTATATTTTTGCAATGTTACTTGCTTTAATTCTATTTTCAACCTTTTCTTGTATTGAGACTCTCTATCTTCTTGGGTTATGTACAATTGTTAAATGAAATTGAGTTGAAATAAAATACAAAAAATTTGCTATAATTATGCTATTTGGATTAAATTGGATTATCAGACAGATTATTATCTATTCTTAAGTGGGTGTAGCGCTCATTATCCTTACTTTACTTTTCTCTATGATGGAACCCCTCCCATTGCTCTAGCCATAAGCTATGGCAGCTCCAGCTCACAACCACAAGGGCCCGCCCGCTCTGCGAGGCCAAAGTGGGCTCAACGGTCAACCTCCATTCTAATTATGTTAGGGGTTCTTTTGCCTTTGCCGGATCTAGAGAGATACTATAAGTCCTCCGTCCCAGATTCCATCACCACGACCATCTGGTTCATTAGTACTATCAAAGAGTTTCATGCTTACATTACTGTTACTAATGATTTTATTACCTTGGACCATGAAGACCCCAGTCGTGCTTCTGGTTGGTTCATAACATCACATTTGTCGCATAACACTGCAAGAATTCCTCTGAAATTGAGCCTTTTATCTGTTCTTGTTGAGAAGGTTGCACATAATTTGGTTGGGTTCAGGTTAATAATCAGCTCTCAACCATGATCAAAGGTCACATAATAGCACATTGTAAAGGTCAATGGATGGCATTAGATATCAACAAAGCTAAACACACTATTTTTTTGCACCATTTTTATCCACTATTGAACCATTAGATTAGTGGGTTCTATTGAATTCATAGAATATTTAAAGGTTAAGATCATGCTACATCAGTTAATATCGATCTTGTTAAAAAAAAAATAATAATAAATAATGGTGTAAACAATATAATACACAAAAGTGGTACACATCATTATTAATTAAATATTCATGAAATAGGTACAAATCAATAATCACAAAAAAATATATGTTATTGCCAAAGTGACCCCCTCCACAATCAAAGTACATTAAAATAGGGCATTGATGTTATCTTTCATCTTTGTTTTTTTCGGTAAGTAAAAGCATGGATGTTATCTTTCATCTTATCCTGGAGTACCTTCAGTTTCAGCCAAGTGGCAAGTTATATTAGGAATTTTTTTTTTTGTTTCAGGATAAAATCATAAAATTAGATTAATGTTAGGATAAATTGTATCATTAGTCACTAAAATTGTCACTTATTGAACTTTGATCTTTAAAATTTTAATTTTACAAATTTAGTCTTCGATGGTCACACATTTGACGAATTTAGTCCCTATCCCTACCTATCCCACCAAAAAAATGACGAAAAGCGACGTGTGACAGGCACGTGAGGATGATTGATATGCATTAGGTTAGATTTCACCATGCTTTCCCACCCCTCTGTTATCCTCAAGTGCCCGCCATCACAAATTATTTTTCTGACACTTTTTAAGACAGGTATTAGGGTAGGGGACCTCATTATTCCAATGAAAATATTGAAAAATAAATTGATAAAATTAAAATTTTAAGGATCAAAGTTCAATAAAAGATTAATTTACCTTTGGAAGCAGCACGAGGCTGAATTGATAATTTAGTATACTTCTATTTCTCTCCCATGAATTTAAAAGTATAAAGAAATGAATATATCTATTAAAATTTACTTTATTGGTCTAATTTATTGTGTTTGTTGAATAAACAATAAATTCCAATATTTAATTAATCGACAATCAATTTAATACATATAGCAAATTAGAAGTATAAATTAAATTTTAATAGTTGTGCGTGCAAGATCCTGCACAATATAAAAAACGAGAACAGATCTCTCCTCTGGTGAACTTCGAGTGAGCCAGTTGAATGACCAACCACGCTGCTTGGAACAGCCTGCGAGGTCCGGTGATAACCTGGAACGGCAAAGGGAGACCCTGGGGGAGCGGAAGAACGATCCAGTAAGGCTGAAAGGGGTTCCTAGAACAAAGAAGAACAAGTTAGAAGGGCGCCGGAGTGTTTTCCGGCGTATCCCCTTCGACGGTCTAGTCAGTCTTTTAGAAAGAGAGAGGAAGGAGAAAACACTGAGTGAGTATTGTAGTAAAGAGTTTTTTGTTGCATACCCGTCTTGCCTTTTGCAAGGAGTATTTATACCTCAAAAGCTCATGATTGCTGTCAGTGTAGTCAGTAGATGATCATTAGGTACAGGCAGTGTGCGCACTGATTCTGATGAGGAATGTCTTCTCTTCTTAACTGCTTGGGGTCCCGAGCAATCAATGCTGGGTCATCGGGATGCCGACGGTACAATGTACTCCTCTCGGGGAGGATGCAATAAATGCTCTGTATTAGGAGCATTTATTGCCTTTCATTTCTGAGCCTTACCGCATTGAATGCGGTCTCATCAAAGGAATGGTGTAATTAATAGTTTGCTTTCCCAAGTCGCGTGTCAGCAACGACATGCGGTTTCTCTGTCTTCGATGTGATATCATATGCCACGCGTCTATCCCTTATTGGCTGTGACCCCTGCATTCCAGTACGTTCTGACACTAATTGTGTAAGACGAGGTCATGATGAATAGCCTAGACTAGCCTAGGCTAAATGACCTGTACGTCAATAGCTTATCCTGGAGTAGAGGAAGCGTCCAGGACGGGGTACCTCTCGGCACCGAGGAAAGGCTCATCTCGGAACCGAGGGAGGTATGCCGACCGAGGTACCATATTAGACCGAGGCCACGTGTCGGTTGTAAACATACTGAATGCTTGATCCTATATGACGAGTACCTCGGGGGCGAGGACCTTTGCGCGCCGATGGTGCTTGATCTTATCAACAGTGTTTTGGTAATACCGAGGACACGTGTCTTCATCATGGAGTATTTTCAGAAAAGTCCCATCAACTGCCCCCCAGCCTTCGATCTTCTGACACCGAGGGCACGCGTCGTAAGGAGACGAAGGGTTTCCCAACAACCACAACTGCTTCATCATTACCTCGAGCCGCTTTCCCCGGCTTGGGATGTCGTGAGCATTAAATGCGCCATTTTGTTTTTCGCGCCCAATGATGAAAACTGCCCCTATATAAATGGGGCTCCTCTTGTATTTTCTTGTTTCGCCATTCTGAACTTTCCTCAACAGAGCCTCTTCTTGAATCTTCGCCAGAGATCTCTTTCCTCTTCCATCGTCGACTGCCCATTCTTCTTTAAGGTCTTAAGGCCAACAGATCCATCGTTACTTCTGAACTTCCTGGAAGGAGTCGCTTTAAGGTTTTCCAGAAAAAAAACTCCGTTTGACATTCGGGTGAGTTCTAGTATCTTCCTTCTTTTCTTCCTCCTATCCCTTTTTGTTTTCCGATGACTGGAGGTGTCTCCGGTTGATACATAGCGACTAACCCTCGGGAAACTTCCTCAGGGATTTTTAAGAAAAAACACCCTCTAACTTCTCTCTTTCTTAGAGATGCCTCGTCGTAGCCCTGCTCCCGAGAATCCTCAGGCTGGTTCTTCAGGGTCGGGGAAGTATAAAGTAAAGGGCGGTGAGCAGATCAATAGGTTTAAGGTCAAGTACGGCATTCCTCCGAGCGTAGATATAGAGGATTATGACCCGGTGGTGCACTCTCCTACCTTCGGGGCCGAGGATGCCATGCCATTTTATACCAAGGCCATAATAGAGGGAGGAATTAGGTTTTCTTTGCCCCCTTTACTTCTTCAGTTCCTCTCTCACTTCCGCCTCTTCCCCGGGCAATGTTGCCTCAATGTCTTCAGAATAGTTATGGGGGTCTTAGAGCTCAATAGGCGTCTCGGGGTAAATATTGGGCTCAACGATCTTCTTTTTTGTTATTCCCTCCTGAGAGTCATGCCTCACCAACACTTCTATCTCAAAGCCAGGGACCCCTCCATGTACCTTGTAACTCATCTTCCTGACTCGGACAAGGGATACAAGGATGATATTCTTATCTTCAAGGGATCTTGGCAGAGAGGTGTTGGTCCCGAGTATAACGACTTGTTATGCCCCCTGGAATGGAGAACGACAAGTACGTCGGTTCCTTCGGGTTTATTATTTCGTTCTCCAGATTTCCCTTGTTCATGACTACTTTCTTGTTTGTGCAGATATTCCTGCTCGGGAAACAGCTCCTCCCCCTCGGTCGCTGGTGAACTTCGCCGACCTAGTCACGGTTTGGAGATTTACTGGTGACTACGGGTTCGGCCGGGCTACCCATATCCTGCTGAATTACACCCCAGGGTATAAGAAGTTTTCACAGCTTCCTCAGCCTTTTGAGCCTTTGCAGTGGTCTGAACTCTTCGATCAGGCTGCGAGGCAGGAGGTCGAGGAAAACTTGGAGGAAGACCCTGATCGGGCTTCGGAGGCAGAGGTAGAGGGAGCCGTTGAAGAGCTCGGGGTCAGAGAGGACGTTGTTCCTTCGGACGCCGAGGTGGGGACTTCGGGAGGAGACTTGTGGCCAGACTTCCAAGTTCTTCAATCTTTAGACGCTGAGGACGCCCTCGAGGTCGCGATGTCCAGCACGCCTCGCATCGACCTGGGGTTCCTGAGGCAGAGGCAAGCCCTTGCAGCCGGGAGGGGTCGAGGATCGACCGGCGGCGCCCCCTCTGCAGGGACCAGTTTCGCCCCATCCTCAAGAGTTCTCAGCCGGGGTCAAGTGCGTGACCGGGATCCTCAGGTAGAGGAGGAGAGAAGGGTCAAACATCGGCACGATGGCCTCGGCCGGGGATCCAGGGCACCTTCTGCTCAGCAGCAAAGCGGGAGAGGCCGTGGGTTACCCCCTGCTCCTCCGCAACAGCAGCAACAGCAACAACAATGACAACAACAACAACAGCAGCAGCAGACTCCCCCTTCTCTTCCGCCAATAGTGGAGGCCGCGAAATGGAATCCCCGAGCCACTGATCACATGAACCGAGTGATCAGGGTCGATGATTCCATTTTGCTGGATCCTCGTGTCGCCAATGCAGTGAGTGAGACACTGCATTTCGAGGCTGACATGGTGGCTCACAGGGGGCGTTCAACGAACGTGTTGTTCCGCTCCATCATCCAGAATTCCCTGGTAGTAAGTTCATTTTTGCTTTGGTTTCTTCTCTCTTGCTTTCCATTTTTGTGACACCTTTTTCCCTCCTTTGCAGGCTACCCAGCAGATATCCATAATAGCTGCCCGATACCACGGGTCTAGGATGGACCTCCAGAGAGCCCGAGAGCAGAAGGAGGAGGCGGAGGGGGCCCTCGCCCGAGCAATGGAGGATTTAGCTGCCAGGGACTCTACCCTGGCGGGGCAGGCTGCTCAAATTGAACAACTCCTCAAGGATGCCGAGTCGGCTAAGGTTGGCGCTGAAAAACTAAGTGCTGCCCTTGCCGATGCTGAGGGGAGAATTACCGAGCAGACGCGGCGTCTTTCTGCCGCGGAGGAGAGGGCTGTTGGCTCAGAGGAAAGCTGTCTGGCTCTCACCCAGGAGCTGGACAGGATCAGAGCCAAGGCACTGAACAGAAAATCGGAGGAGCAACTTCAGGAAGAGTTCGCCGATGACGTGCTCCCTGCTCTTGAGGAAAACAGCAAGGAGTTCTTCAAGAAAGGGTGGGACGAGGCGCTCCAGTCTACAGGAATCCCGTCAGACTCCCCGCTCTTCCAAATGCACAAGT